GCTTCTTGGCTTTATGTACTCTACTATTGATTTCCTATAAATTATTCTTTATTTCAGTTAGTGTCTCCTTCATTTCTCACTATGCATACTTCATTTCTGACTGGTCCTTTTTTACGCTGTTTAGGCCCTCACTAAGTTCCTTGAGCATCCTTATAACCGGCAATCTGTTAGATTGCTTATCTCCATTTTGTTTAGTCCTTTTCCCAGAGTTTTGTTCTGTTCTTTCATTTGGGACATGTTTCTTTGTCTCCTCATTTTGGATGCCTCCCTGTGTTTGTTTCTGTGTATTAGGTAGAGTTGCTATGTCTCCAGGGCTTCCTAGGGTGGCCTATTGCAGTAGGTGTCCTGTAGGGTCCAGTGGCACAGCTTCCCTGGTCACCCCAGCTGGGCCGTTGAGGTGCACCCCTCATGTGTAATGTACACCCTTCTGTTGTAATTGAGTCTTGATTGCTGTTGCCACGTCAATGTGAGGGATTTACTCAGGCTGATCAGCTGCAAGGACTGGCTGTGCCCACTGACTACTGACCTCTGACTACCTTGGAGGATCACCTGTGCAGGGCCCACCACACAGACAGAGCAAGACTTACTTCATCAGGGCTCTGGTACCCACTGAGTCCACTCCTTGAGTGTGTCACTTGTGGAGGTGGTTGGGTGGTGATGCTTTGCAGTGGTCTGAAGCTGTCCACTGGGTGTGCTGGCTCTGGGGCAAGGTCAGCCACTGCCTGTGTTCTACCTGGGGCCACCAGGCATAAGCTACAAAGCGATCTGCTGGTGGCTGCTGCTTGTGCTGACCTTGGAGGTGCCCAGGCAAAGCCAAACTGTGAACCAAGGCTGGCTGTTTCTAGTGCCAGGCCTGGGGCCACTTAACAAGAGTCATGGGGCTCACTGAGACCAGGTGCTGCTTGTTTAAGAGATTTTAGGAAACTCTGAAGTGGGATTCAAGACAGGCCAATCCTATAATAAAGCCATTGGAAACAGCTTGGGTGGGCCCAAAGGTTGGGTGGGCAGGGCCTCAGGGGATCACCAGGGAGGGGCAAACAGTGTGAGCCAGGTTGCTAGAGTCCCAGGTATGGTGCTCACCAAAGGAACAAAGGCCTCTGGCAGCAGGTGTGTCCTGGAGAAAGCTGCCTCTCCAGCTCTTGCCCCAATGCCAAACAACTCAGTTCTTCCCTATACGTCTCCGCTGCCTTTCAAGCTGCCTCACCCATGCTGGAGCCTGGAGGGAGCAGGTCTGAGTAAGTCCATGCACTGGCCCTTTAAGAGGAGCTGCCTGGGGCTCCCTCAGCCTCAGCCTCCCTCAGCCTCAGTCCCTCTAGTTTTTACGGTCAGAAGTGATGGGGATTCTCTTCCTGGCACTGGAACCCTGAGCTGGGGGCCTGGTGTGTGACAGGGACCCCTCACTCAGGGAGGACCTTCCCAGCCGAGATATCATCCTGATTTCTATCCGCCACCTGTGGGAGGCGATACCACGTTTACCAGAAGTGGAAACCTAGTAAATTTATAAGGCTTGGCCTTTGTGGTTTAATTTTTTTAAATTAAATTAAAACTAAATTAGAGCAAGACATAAAATGCCAGCATTTACACTCAAACAGAGCACACATTTTAAGTTCCATATAGAGATGTTGGGAAAGGAGGGAACACAGGAATCAGATGAAGACAAGGAGACCGTGGATGAGGAGGACAATGAGTATGTAGACTCCAAAAGGTGTGTCCACAGCAGCGGGAGGGGAAGTGAGGGAGGCACACGTGGGACCCCGAAGGAAAAGAAGGGGTTGGGGGTTGATGCAGGAGGAGGAGGAGCAGGAGGAGGAGGGAGGAGGAGGAGCAGGAGGAGGAGGGAAGGGGAGGAGGAGGGATGGGGAGGAGGAGGGATGGGGAGGAGGAGGGGGAGGGAGGCGGGAGGCGCCCTGCTGGCGGGGAGTATTTCCTCCCAGGTGTTTCTCGTTAGGCAGCCACCCCTCTTCCTCACGACCCTCCCAGGGGCTCCGAATTGCTTGGCGCTCTTGATTCTCCCCGAGGAGAAGGCCTCTCTGGCTAACCTGGCCTCGCAGTCCAGCCCCTGCGAAAGGGAAGCGTTGCGGGGTGGGGGTTCTGGCAGAAGGTTGCTCTGTGGCAAGGACGGAATCAAGCTCAGGGATGAGCGTGGACAGCGCGTCCCTGTATCCGCTCCACCCAGACAGGTCAGTCTTCTTTCAGGGACACACGAGTGGGTGTGTCCGCGGTCACTCTGGCCTGCGAAGGCCATCTTCCCAAACAGTCACCATGCTCAAGGGAAGGAGAGGTAGAGACAGAGCCGTGGTCCTTTCTCCCGTCCCCGCGGGGCCCACTCGAGGGCGCCCGCACCGCCCTCCAGGTCAGGCCGGGGCGTGACTACGCGGGGTGGTCAGCGCTCCGCAGCGCAGCACCTGCTTATATTCCCCAGAACAGCGTGTTCATGGCAGAAACGGAGAGTCCAGGTGTTCTGGCTCTAGATCCATCTCTTTGGAGGGCCTCATGAAGCTTCCAGTCTGGTTTGTAAGAATTGGGGTGCCGAGGCCTGCTCGGGCCGGCGTGGGAGTTGCATTTCCAGGAATTCCGCAGGCCGGTCGGTAGCTGTCCGCGAACCCCCGGAGGAGGGGAGCGGACCCGCGGGAGGGCTGGGCGGCGGGAGCTGGCAAAGGCGGAGTGGGGATCCCTCCTCCCAGAGCCGCTGGCTACCAGCTACCAGCCTCCACGGGCCGTTTGCTGCGCTGCGGAGGTTTAGAGGCGTATACGCGGATGTACACACCCTGCGGCTACGCTATAATGAGCATTTTCAAAGGTGCGGTGTGACTTTCAGGGCCTGTTGTAGGCAGAGTCATGTCCCGCGCCCAGCACTGAGGTCCCCTGTGCGAGGTGCACGGGAGCAGCGTGGACTCCTCGACTTCGCAGATGACACAGACCAAACAAGCTGCAAGGCAGCGACTTACCGACCAGTTAAAAGGTTTTGTCCCTTTGTCACGAGGGCACGGCTGAAGCCCTGCTCTGTGACGAGAGGCAGTGACCAGCGGTCTGTCCCAGGCTCCCTGACGCTGAGACCGGGCCGCCAGGCTCCATGTAAGGAAGATGTGCTTGGTTCCTTTGCCCGGTGTTCGTGTTCGTGCAAGAGCCTCAGGGACAGCAGCTCAGCAGCAGGTGGCTCCGCCCTTTCTGCACCAGAGCCGCTCAGAGCCCGCGGACAGCGCACGGCTCCTGTTACACCCCCTGCCCCCTGCCGGCCCCACGGGCAAGCGACCCAGGGCTGGAGACGTACAAGCGGGAACCCCACGCTGTGAGGCTTTGGAGCTAACACGTGACTGGGGGGATGGACATCCGAAGTGTTCCCAGGACGGTCCTGGTGGCCCCCAGGGCAGCTGGGTGCCACCCGTGCGGTGCTGGCACAGACGTTCTGCCACCCCCCCAGCAGCCCCACAGCACCGAGCCGACCTCACGAAGTGGCCGTGGGGTCCGTGGCCGGAGCACGCTGGGGTGACGCGTGGCGGGGTTGCTTGGAACTAAGCTGCTTAGAGGCTGAATCAAACTGCTAACAGACCCTTGGGCAGAGTTGCAAGGGCAGCTAGACTTGAGGTGGCTTCTGTCTCCCCTCAACAGTCCAGGTTAGCGCTGATCCTGCCTTAAGATACCGGTGCGGGCACAGCCATCCGGCGTCAGGGCTGGAGGGGCTGCCGGGCGCTTGACCTCAGTTCCAGGTGAGGAAACTGAAGAGCAGCCGACGAGCCCAAGGTCCTGCTGGCAAGAGAGAAGCAGATTTGCTGGCACCCAACCTGGCCTCCCTGAGGCTGCCCCTGTGAAGCTCTTGACCTCGAGGAGCGGCCCCCAGTCCTGCCGGACATCTCATCCAACACCCCGGATCTGGGTGGCTGGCGGTACACTCTGAAGGTGTCTCCAGCAGATCTGCTTGTTTAACAACTTCAGTCTGAACACTTAGGAAGAACTATACACCCAGTACTGAGGGGACATTACTGGTTTCACTCACAGTCAGAAACATCTTTATTTTCATTAACCAGGTCAGAATTTGGGCGCCAATTCACAGCTATTTAGATTGTCTTCCTTCCTTGCCAAATTTACATGACTGTATTTTCACATTTTTTCTGCTATCTTCCTATCTAATTCTTACGACTTGGCAGGTTGCTTACTTGCCAGTAATGATAAGGCTGTCAAAGCACAGAGGTCATGACTGGGAGCACGTTTGTCGGGACTGAGAAGATGGGGTCACAGCTCATGATCAGGACGTGGGTTCTCGCGGCCGCTCCTCTCTCTCCATTCGGCGTGTTCATCCTCTGTGGGTGGTTCTCCTCATTTCAACCATCAGGACGATGTAGCATTGAATTCTTTCCAAATGGCTAATCTAGTCTGAATAGATCAGCAACCAAAATTAACCTGTAAGGATTCAAGTTAAGTGATCATATACTCATGGCTTTTTCTTTACACTTGGGATTTTCACTCAGAAATGAAGAGCGACTCAAACTGTTAGTACTGTGCTTATGGCCCTGGCCAGTTTGGCTCAGTGGTTAGAGCATTGGCCTGCAGGCCAAAGACTTGCGGGTTCGATTCCAGTCAAGGACACGTACCTTGGTTGTGGTTCATCCTGGGCCCTGGCCAGGTCATGTGGGAGGCAACCAGTTGACGTGTCTCTCTCACACCGATGTTTCTCTTTCCCTCCCACTCTATCTGAACATAAGTGGAAAAATATCCTCAGGTGAGGATTTAAAAAAAAAATACCACGTTTATAGAATTGGAGTGTCTTTTGGAAAATAATAGCAAAATACTGATAATGAAGGCATTTCAAATGTTATGATAGTGTTATTTATAAATGACTATTCAGCCAGATGGAGTAAAACATACCATGAACTTGTACTTAAAAAACAAACAAAATCCTGTACATGAAAAACACAAAAACATATAAGGATTTGAATCTATATGTATATATATACATTTTACAATGTTTATTTTGTGTTTTATTACAAAAAATAGTCATTTACAGTTAGGCACCACAGAAATGTCAGTCACACACAATGTTCCAAACTCGGTGGTCTAGCGCTGGCATTTCCGTTGAGCATGGTCCTAGGGAATGTCAAGCTGAACAACAGGCTATTGAATACAGAGTGACTGTGTGTTCTGAACTATTCAGTGGGGTCAAATGAAGTCTTTAGTATATTCCATTTTGATTCTTTGGGTATTCTTTATTTTTGCTTTGGGTGACATCTGTGTTGTGGGGACATTCATTACCAGTCACTAGCAAGATAGCATTAAAAAAAAAACCCTCTGGTGCCACATTTAGTTGTCGGAGTGTCTACAATGAGACCACACCACTGGGAGACCTTTCTGTGTCCTGACTACTATGTCAGGCTTCATAGATCCTCCCTCTTTTTAATGATCATTTGTCTAATCAGATCTGCTATCTCAGGCCGGATAACTTCAATGGGTTCCTCCGGCCTCCAGGACTTCACGACTCGACCCTCAGGGTTGACCAGATATTTCCAGAAATTCCATCTTGGTTCCTTCTTTGAAGAATCTAAAATATCAGAATATATTTTCATGAGCATGATTTTATTTTTTTGTCAAGATTTTCAATTCTATTAGGATCTGCATTAGTGACAATTTTAGAATGGAGTTCTAGGATTGTCATAGTGTCAAAAATAAAACAAAAAGCAAAACACCCAAACAAAGCAAAACTCAAGATTTGAGTGACCAAATTTCTGTATACTTGGTGACTCCACTAATGATTTTACTGATCTAGAATCATGAAATAAAGCAGTTTATTTCAGATTTGTTGATCTAAACAACAAAACATTTGCCTTGTTCAAAACTTTCTTAACATTTTAAAAGATAAAGTGATATTCTAACAGTCCTTTATAAAGGGAATGTGTGGATTACTTCTCATATTAAATATATCTATATTTTTAATAGTTACATATTCCATAGCTAAAATGGTAAGACATTTTATATAATGATTATTTTGAGAAATCATGACATCTTTTTGATGCATCTTAATTTACATAAGAAATGTAGATTTTTTTTCCCATTTTATCAGCCTGGATTTAGGTGCATTATTATTGACTAACATGAGGAAAAATAGAAACATAACTGAAATTTATCAAGTGCCTACTGTGTGCCTAGCAGTGTGCTCGGGGCTTTAAATGGGTCTCGTGCCCTCGCCGCAACCCTGTGAGGTGGGCGTTATCATCGTCCCCATTTCGCAGATGAGCACAGTGGGGGCCCAGACCCCAGGTCGCACAGCTAGTGAGTGGGAGAGCCCCGAGTGACATCGGCACCTCGTTCCCCAGAGCCGACGCTCCAGCGCCTCCACGGGGCACGGCAGACCCGGGGAGGACAAGTTCTGTCTGCACACGTGAGACACTCAGTTGGAGGAGGCACTTGGGAGGCAGCTCATCAGGGAACGCGGGCAGAACGAGAGCCCAGGGGAGGTGAGGGAGGACCCTGCGGAGTGACGGGTGGGTGGGAAGGGGACCCTGCAGGGGGAAAGAGGTGGGCGTCAGGCTCAGGAGGGGCGTGCAGCCAGCGGCCAGACGCAGTGATCCAAGAAGGAACTGGGGAGACAGACGGTCGCAGAGAAAACGAGGGTCACTGCCCTCTCAGGAACAGGGAGGAGGCAGGTGGAAGGAACACACTGCCTGGAGTTGGCAGAGGCGGGCAGTGCTTTGCTTCGTGCCAGGAAAAGAGCTGGGGAGGGAGCGTGGGTGCAAAATAGCCGAATGGAGCCCGGCAGTTACGGGCTCTGACTTTGCACACCAAGCCGAGCGTTCGCACGGGTCACGTCATCATGGGAAGTGTTGCTGATTAAACCAAACGTCGACGGCACAGTATGAGCACATTATTCAAGCTTTCTTCGCATCAGTTTGCAAAATAGCCGTTTTCTATCACGGAAAACATGTTTCTAAAGATAACGCCCATCAGGCATGGCTCTCTGGCTACGGTCACATCTATTAGAGAAAGACACGCTCCCAGGTGGGGACCGTCCCGCAGCACACGTCCTGCCACTTGCCTGGGGTCCAGTCCCCACTTGCCCCTCGCCAGGTGCCCTGAACAGCCTGCACCCTGCCCCAGGCCCGGTGCTGCTCACGTTGGCCAGTTCGGAAAGACCTCATTTTAACTTGGCCATCACCTCCTAGCCTTTGTCTCGGGAGCTCCGTCCGGCTTCAGGGAAGCCTGAGGTCACCGGGGCCGTCTTGATGACACGGGCATGTGGAGCCCCAGCCCCTCCTTGGTGGAAGGGGGAGAACCAGAGGGGCCGTGCCCACGAGGTGGTGGCTGTACATGAGGAACTGCAGGGCGTGTCCACCTGAGAGCGTCATGAGCTGGTTTGTGGGACTGGAAGCTTGACTCAAGTCATAGCTTTGTCAAAACTCAAATGATCTGTAGGGAACACAGGACTGAGCTCAGCTGCGAAATGAGCCGAGAAAACATCGCCCGGCTGTCCTGTCCGGCACGGGGGCCGTGTATCCGCACGTCACTCTCACCATGGACCCAATCTTCCCGACGGTCTTAGGAGGTGGACAGAACTGAGGAAACAGGCACTGAAACGTGCGTGCCTGGAGCCACACAGCAAAGCAACGGGCAGAGGCCTGGAGCCAGGTGGACTGGGCCACACCTGTGCTTTTCGTCACGAGGCTCACGACCTTTACGCTAACCGACCCTGGACCATCTCTGCTGCTAGCCTAATTGTAGAAACGGCCCAACACTGCCTTCCTCCACAAAAATTGTTATACTGTTTTTTTTTTTTATCCTCACCCGAGGATATTTTTCCATTTTTTGTACAGATAGAGTGGGAGGGAGAGAGAGGAAGGGAGAGAGAGAGAGAAACATCAACGTGAAAGGGACACATCGAGTGGCTGCCACCCGCATGACCAACCAGGGCCGGGGACAAACTGCAACCGAAGTACATGCCCTTAGCGGGAACCGAACCCGGGTCTCTCCGGACCGCAGGCCGACGCTCTAACCGCTGAGCCAAACTGGCCAGGGCTACTGTTTTTAATTTTAGCAAAAAGCCGGTAAACCGAGTATTATTCCTCCTTGAGGAACGTGAAATCCACCAGATAAGTGTGGGCAACACAGCCTCAACAATGGGGGGTCGGTCCCCGGAGGAGAGAATGGAGACACTCCGTGGAACAGCTATGACCACGCTTCAAGTAACATTTCTGGCAAAACGATCATAAGGGATAAAATACAGTGGAACAGATTAATTTTGTCATCTAGGAAGTTAAAACATCGATTTCAGGGACGTGTACTTAATGTCTAGAAAGCTTGAAAGGATGAAATTCTGGCTCTTTGATAGTCTTACAAACTTTCCCACTAAAACATTTCAAACGAAATAGGAAGGGATGGTCCTGATACATTTGTTTTAAAAATGAAAAGCAGTGAAGAACATTACATTGATGAGGCAAGATCGATATTTACCGACAAGAAATCTGAACGCGGGTTCCGCTCCAGGCCCTAGAATCTTAATCTTATGGAAGATGGGGAATGTGACTCCGTAGTTATTTCTTGCAAAAGAGACCACGTCCTTGCTGGGCCGGGGCTCGGATTCTCCGAACTGGTTGCAGGGGAAAGCCAGGACGCTGAAGTGGAAGGGCCCGAACTCTCTGTGCAGGTCCTGCAGCGCCAAGTAATTGCTGTCTGTGAGTTGGCAGTCACTGGCCACGTTGGCCACTAGTGTGACCTCCCGGAAAAAGAAAAACATCCAACCGGAAAGGGAAGCAAAGAAAAGATCAAAAAAGAATTCTGCAAGTAGTTAAAATCCTAAACCATTCGGGGGAAATACAGCCTGTGATTGACGGTTCTTTCAGATTTGCAGAGACCCCGTGTTATCGGGAGCCGTAACCTGGGGCCCGAGTGGAGGCTCTGGACAATCACTGCCCGTAGGGGCCTCAGAGGAAAGGGAGGGGCAGGAGGAGATAAACCAAAGAACTTACATGAGTAACCAACGGATGCAGACAATAGTAGGGTGAAGGGGGTGAGGAGGAGGGGTCAGTGGGGGAAAAAGAGAGGATATCTGCAATACTTTCAACAATAAAGATACATTTTAAGAAAGTAAAACAAGGCACCCCGCTAGGATCCTCAATAGAGTGCTTTGTAACGTCTGCATAGTCACAGTACCAACTATAAGAAGCTCCTACACAACTTAAAGTATTCATTCGGCACATACATGAAGACGTTTTAAAGAAAAGCAGTTAAGATAATCGGAGTTGATCAATTAGAAGCATATAAACCACGAGAACTCTGATGGCTACAGCGACATGCTAACAACATCCCTTTATCATAAACGGTAACTTAGGGCCATTGAACCGCGGAAACGGACTCCGTCAGGAGCACCCACGGAGAGCAGGCCGCGCCAGAGAGCAGTGAAGACCAGAGGATGCAACTTACTTTGCCTTTAAACTTCTCCAGAGAAACAGGCCTCCCTTTCGCATCTTTCACCTCAAAGGCGTAGAAGCTGTTGCTCTTCGGCTGGAGGAGTTTCAGCTGCAGAAGGAAGAGCGTCCCTGTGCACAGAGCCATGGACAGCAGAACGGCCAGCACCTTTGCCTTGGGCCCCGAGCATCTCGGGGGGTGAGCTGCGAGAGGCTCCATTTTGGACGATTCCAGAGAGAAGGCTGCTCGCTGGAATTCGAGGAGGAGCTGAAACTTGAAACCCTGCAGTCAGCCCGCGGAAAGGCAGGGAGGACGGACGGATGGGCGGTTTCCCTGGGGTGGGGAGGGGGCTGCCCCTGTAGTGAGCGCCGGGGGACCTCAAGGTGTTTGTAACGCCAATTGCAATTTTTGTAAGAAAACTCAGGACACTTTCCGTGGTTCTTTCACACCCGCCTGACAAACCGTTTGTCCAGGAGGTGGCGCCCTTGTCACTTGAAAGCGGTGAACTGCAGAGGGCTGGAGGCAGAGCCCAGGACGACGCTCAGGGGCTGCAGGACCCCAGGGACTGGGGGTTTTATTTGGTTTTTTTCTTTTTTAATCCTTACCCAGGGACATTTCCCCCCCCCCCTTTTTTTTGTTCAGCTAGAGTGGGAGGGGGAGACAGGAAGAGAGAGAGAGAGAGAAACATCGACGTGAAAGGGACACATCGAGTGGCTGCCACCCGCACAACCCAACCAGGGCCGGGGACAAACTGCAACCGAGGTACGTGCCCTTAGCGGGAACCGAACCCGGGTCTCTCTGGACCGCAGGCCGACGCTCTAACTGCTGAGCCAAACCGGCCAGGGCGTAAGTGCGGATTTTAAACGCGCTCGCGCGTGCAAGGAGTTCACGGTGGAGGGGGCAGGGACTATCTGAAAGGCTACTACTCGGACCTCACGCAGCAAAGGCGGTGCCAGGTGAATAGAGTAGGAATAAATAGATTATAAACAACGATGTCTTTACAAAACCCTCCTCTATCACAAAGGAAGCTCTAGTTCAGTGTTTTTCAAATTTTCGATCATGAGCCACATAAAGAAATGAACTTTACAATCTAACTCACAGACGCATATAACTGAGTTTCATGAAGGAATAATACTTCCCATTTGAACATCAACGCACCTGGGTTAATCTCTTTTTTTTTTTTTTTATCCTCACCCGAGGACATTTTTTCCATTTTTTGTTCAGACAGAGTGGGAGGGAAGGAGAGAGAGAGAGAGAGAGAAACATCGACGTGAAAGGGACACATCGAGTGGCTGCCACCCGCACAACCAACCAGGGCCGGGGACAAACTGCAACCGAGGTACGTGCCCTTAGCGGGAACCGAACCCGGGTCTCTCGGGACCGCAGGCCGACACTCCAACCGCTGAGCCAAACCGGCCAGGTTTTAATCTCATTTTTAAAACGCATAGTTCTGATGGAAATCATTTCATGGTTTACCAATGGGCTGCAAGCTGTAGATGAAACAAACAAACAAACAACCCACTGAACTCTATAATAAAGCAGGAATTTAACAAATAAGATAATTCACCAAAAAGGCAAATCAGCCCCCCACCCCAGCTCACTTCCACTTGGGTGCATCCTCTAGCTGCTCCATTTTTTATCTTTATTTCCCCCCGGCCGCCTCCCGGGGCAGGTGGAACTTGCCTGTTGAAAGCTTAGCTCCGGAGAGGGATTTGCATTCCCTGAAGCCCACGGTTCTTTCCACCACCTTGGGGTTGGGCTCAGGGAAGACCCACAGCAAATTCTGAATTAAGGGGTCTGGTTCCACCTGGGCCTGCCTCTTAGTTTCCAGAAGGTGCTGGGAAACCGCACAGGGTGACGGGAGAGCCCTTCCCATCAGGTGGACCTGGAGCGGCCCTGCCTCCGTGGGCTGCGTGTTTGGGGCCGCTGCGCAGAGCCTGCCGGAGACCAGCCCGTCGCTGCTCACGGCGCGGTGAGAGTGGCCCAGCGGGAGTTTTCTCTTGTGAACATAGTTTCCAGCAGAGAGCAAACGTGTACGTGACACGTGTCACTTCTTAACTGTGATCACTGCACTGGGGTGTTATTGAAAAGTCCAAGTCCTGCCCTGGCCGGTTTGTCTCAGCGGTTAGAGTGTTGGCCTGCGGTCCAGAGAGACTCGGGTTTGGTTCCCGCGAAGGGCATGTACCTCGGTTGCAGTTTGTCCCCGGCCCTGGTTGGGTCGTGCGGGTGGCAGCCACGCGATGTGTCCCTTTCACGTTGATGTCTCTCTATCTCTCTCTCTTTCCCTCCCACTCTATCTGAACAAAAAGTGAAAAAATGTCCTCAAGTGAGGATTAAAAAGAAAAGGGAAGTCCGAGTCCTGGGTTTGTCACACCCCACACTGCTCCACAGCCTTAGCGCTGGGGCTCGCTACGCCGCGTGGGGTCCTTAGGTCCGGGCACTGCGGCCACCTGGGTGCCTGTGAGCGATGCTGCCCGGGGGCCCCACCGACCTCCCAGTTCTGACGGGGTCCCCGCATGAGGGCGGCACATTTACGTCTGAGAAACTAGACCGCAATCTTGTGTCGGTTTCCAGAGCAACAAGGCTCCATGGTTCCCTCGCCTTCCAGGGAAGCTGTGGCTCACGTCTCGGTCCACACGAGACATTTTAACCAGCACCTCAAGCTGCTCGCACACAGGGCTCAGGAGCCCGTTAAAGTTAGTCCACAGAACACCTGCCGTGCGTGGACCCGCGGAAACCAATACAATATAACTGTATAACCAATACAATATAACTCACACCCCAGGCAGGGCTCCAGAGGCTGGTATTATTTTGATAATGTCATTACGGTTCCTAGTCCATTGTTTTGTAAGCACAGAAACTCCCATTAAGTGGTCCAGGGCTTGGCCTTTGAGGAGGCTGACATTCTGCTTTTGAGGGACCCCGGCCAGCGGCACCAGGTCGCGGCCAGAGCAGGACAGCCGGGCCGGCACGATGCTTCCCGCCGGCCGCCAGAAAACTCCCTCTGTGAGGACCGCTTCGAAAGCCAAGTGAACCTCTTGTCAAGGAAGAAATTGGAGCCACTTTATTAATTTTATGATCTTTAAGCCTTGCAAACATGATCTATAAATAGATATATTTATTATCTAGATGTTTGTACAGGCCCTTTAACCAAACATTCAAGACCACAGTTGGGCCCTGGCCAGTTTGGCTCAGCGGTTAAAGCGTCGACCTGCGGTCTGGAGAGACCCGGGTTCGATTCCTGCTAAGGGCACGTACTTCGGTTGCAGTTTGTCCCCGGCCCTGGTTGGTCGTGCGGGTGGCAGCCACTCGATGTGTTCCCTTCACGTCAATGTTTCTCTCTCTCTCTCCCTTCCTCTCTCTCCCTCCCACTCTATCTGTACAAAAAATGGAAAAATATCCTCAGGTGAGGATTAAAAAAACAAAAAAAACAAAAGAGCTTTCCAGACCAAAAAAAAAAAAAAAAAAGACCACAGTTGGGGGAACTCCCACCCTGGACCTTGGTGAATGCAAATAGATTTTAGCCCTTAGATATTTCTTCTCTCTTCCTCTGGCAGAGTCTTTCTCTGTATATTGTCCTGTCGTCTGTCAGCTTTCTGGGGGACCTGCCATCATCACTTCCTTATTCTGCCTGTATTAAAACCATTCTCAGACGATGAGATACCAACGTGGCAAATTTCTCTGCAGAAGGGGCAGCGCTGGACAAGCCCCCAGCGCTCCTTCAGGGCCGGAGCAGCTTCCGGATGAGAGGGCGAGGTTGGTGGGGATTAAGGTCACGGTTAAGGGAAGCGACTAGGTCCGTCATCCACCAACTCAGGCCCTGGGGAGGATACGAACAGGGAGTAAGTGATAAATCTCAAGTTTGAAGTTGATTTTCAAGAAAGATAAGAAAACACACACGAAATAATGAGGGAACAGTTCTGAGCAGCAAATGAATGATGCTAAACAAATGACGTGTTTGCAGAGAGCTTGATCCTACACACGATTTACTTATAGATTAAACAAATACACATATCTATTCAAGGAGATCACGTGTCGTGTAAAGCTCTCTACAGACACACTTGTTTGAAATAGAAAGAATAGCTCACCCAAGATCACAGTGGAAACACCCAAACTAGAAGTTCCAACTTGATAGCCAAAATCATTTCAGCTACAATAAACCATCTCTGTAATAGATAAAATGTTTCCTTAAAAGAAACCGCAAACACACACGCGAGTGTCTGGTGAAGGGGTTTTATCCACCTGGACACATCATTTGATAAGAAATCACCGGCAGGTGCGAGGAGAGGGAGTGGAGAGCCACGGGAAAGCCTGGCGTGTGTCCCCAGGTTACCTGGAAGGGGTCACAGGAAGGCGCTGAGCAGGTGAGCTGAGAGAGGGTGGTGTCGCACGGAAGGCAGCCTTGGTCAAGGGGAGGTCGAGAGGCTCAGGTGCCAGGAGCTCCAGTGGAGGCACTGGCCACGGAGAATGAAACCTCCCGAGATGTCTGCCTGGAATGACCTTGGCGGTGTTTGCGTGGGTCGTGTTGCCCAGCAGGATGAGGAGGCATCGAGGGGCAGGCACGAGAAGACGAACACTTGTTGGGCTGGTGGTCGTGGGGCAGGGCGGGGACCGCCATTCAGAGCTGCGGAAGGGGGTTGGGAAGAAATGCCTGAGAGCCAGTGGGTCATCTTGGTCACTTCTGTCTCCACCTCGAGGTTCTGGAAAGACCCTGATGTCACCCGCGGGTCTTTCCTGGGACACGGAGGGTTTTTCCACCCACTGAATTGTTATCACATTATGTATCGCTGGATGTGTATGAGTTTCCATTGCCTCCTGACCTTGTTCTTGACCTCTCCGAGTTCCTAGTGGGTGTTTGGCCCTGGGCTCTGAGTTCTGCCCGAGGTAGCGTCAACATGATGTGAGCTCCCAAGGTAAACAAGACTGATGTGCATGGAGTACCCAGCCACTCACCCCTCCCCCGCTTCCTCTCCTTACTTCCTCTTCCTCTCTATTAATAAATGCGGGGGCCCTTTAAACCCCAACAGGCATTTCCCGGGGTGCGGCACACCCTGGAACAGCAGGTGAGGAGACTGGAGGTGCCTGGTCTGCAGGGGCTGTGCTGCTGCTATTTGCATACTGCCTCTGATTGGCCCATCGGCACACCGCTTGTTGCTTACTTAGCATTTTTTGGTTCAAGCTGACTCATGTTCAAGTTAATTTTTTATCAATCCTCACCCG